ACAGGAGAAGCCAAAGATTTGTGAGGAGGAGCAAATGTTGCACTCTTGGACTGTGAGGGGATGAACCCGAGGGTTCATCCTCAGAGGCACCAGCTGGGGCTTGAGCTGGGGCTGTGCTGGTGTCACTTCACAGCGGATCAATGGCCTTGAGACATTTGGGATTGCAGTGTGAAACCAGGGCTGGGACCACAGCCAGCCAAGGGAGGGATTGTGTCCATCTCCTCATGTCCAACCTGAGCCTCTCCTGGCCCAGCCTGAGGCCATTCCCTCCCTTCCTGTCCCTGTTCCCTGGAGCACAACCCGACCCCTCGGCTGTCCCCTCTTGTCAGGTTGAGACAGTGGCTGTGCAGAACCACAAGGCCCCCCCTGAGCCTCCTTTGCTCCAGGCTGAGCCCCTTTCCCAGCTCCCTCAGCTGCCCCAGCCCCTTCCCCATCTCTGTTCCCTTCTCTGGACACTCTGCAGCCCCTGGGTGTTTTTCTTGCTGGGAGGGGCAGAACTGGACCCAGCCCTGGGGGCTTCAGCAGTGCCAGGCACAGCCACTGCTCCCGCGGCCCCCCCAGGCTGGGGGTGCTGAACCGTTGGGAGTGGTTCTGGGGCCTCATGAGGGCTGATGGAGGAAATGTGGGGGACCCTGCCCTTTGGGGGTCCCCCTGTGTCTGAGGATGACGTCAGGCCCGAGGGACTTGGGGGTTTGTGCCCTCCCCAGATTTTTCTGCTGGGGAGCCTGAACCCCCATTTCCATCCCTGAGGGTCCATCCAAGCTCAGACCCCCAAATCCACGAATGGGCTTCTTCTCCTCCAACCCCACCTCCCCATGGAGGGGATCCCCAAAATCTGGGGGCTCAGACAGACACTTCCTGCCCCTCAAATGTTCCTGGATCAGGGAGTCCTCAGCCCCCATCTCTGTCTTTGTGAGACCCCCCCCAAGCTCAACCCCCTACAGATCCAGGTTCTGAATGGGCTCCTTCACCCCAAAACCCACGTCTCCACAGAGGGGACCCGCAAAATCAGGTGTTCAAGTGGGCACCACCTCACACAGATGTGTCCAGGGTGTTTTTGGGAGGGTCTCTTGTCACTCGTGGGTGTTTTGTTCAGCAGGACACGACCCAGGGCTGAGGGGAACTCCCAGCGGCCACTAGATCCACCCAGCAGTGTCTGTTTGGGTGCAAACCGGGTGTTTGGGGCACGTTGGTGCTGGTGTTGTGTCCCCAGGCTGGGGGGTTGTGGCACAGCCCCAGGACGCAGCTGAGGCAGCTGGGTGGCAGTCCCCGAATCCAACACCTCTCATTGGCAAGGAGGGAATTTGGGGAAGAGAAATGCAGCAAGTGCCAGGGGAGATCCCGATGGGATTGCTACGAACGCTCCGTGTGCCACCGCATTGCCAAGGGGCGATTGCCTTGGAGCCCAGGAAGGGGCTTTGCAGCGTTTGCCCCTTTTCCAGCATCCCACGGAGGTTGGGGCTGCCCCAGAGCTCGGAGGCAGCTCCTGGTCCGCAGGGCTGTTCCCTGGGGAGTGAGGAAGAGGAGGAGGCGGGGAAGGGCCGGTGCGGGAGCTGGGGAGGAGGAGGATGGCGGGCGAGGGGAGGAAGGTTGGGCGGACGCGAGGAAAGGCAGCGCGGAGGCTCCGAGACTTTCGGGAGGAGAGATTTTATTGAGGCCGGCTCGGGGGCGAGGAGCCCGGAGCGCGGCGCGGGGCAGCGAGGGGATGTCCATGGGCTCGGGGCAGCGAGCGCTTGTCCCGCTGGGCTCAGTTCTGGGCGATGACCTGGAAGGGAGGAAGGGCCGGGCTGAGCCGCGCGGGGCCGGGGCGGGCGCAGCGGAGCCCCGAGAGCGCCGGGGCTGGGCCCGGCCCGGCCGCCTTACGCTGTTGATCCAGGAGATGTAGGCGGAGACGCGGGTGAAGACGGTGGGTTTGCGGGCGACGTTGCAGCCCTGGCTGGAGACGAAGCTGGTGACGCCGTGCACCTGGTACTGCCCGTTGACGGCGCAGTGCAGGGGACCGCCGGAATCGCCCTGCGGAGCAAGGAGCGGCGTGAGCCGGGGCTGCGGGGGCAGCAGCGCCGGGGGCGGCGGGGGCAGCGCGGGGGCCGCGGGCGCACCTGGCAGCCGGAGCGCACGCCGTCGCCTCCGGCGCACACCATGGTGTTCTTGACGGTGGAGCCCCAGTAGGACGCGCTGGAGCAGATCTGGTAACTCACGACGGGCAGCGGGGCCTGGAGCAGGACGCTGGACAGCTGCCCGTTGGCTGCGGGGAGCGGGCGCCGGTCAGCGCCGGCCCGGAGCCGCCGGAACGGCCCGGCCAAAGCAGAGCCCGCGGCTCCCTGCGAGCCCCTGCGGCCCCGTCCGTCCCCCCGAGCCCCTCGGCCCCGTCCGTCCCCCCGAGCCCCTCCGGCCCCGGCCGTCCCCCCGAGGCTCGGCAAGGCCCCGGCCGGCTCTCAGCGCCTGCGAGCCCCGAGCGCAGCCCCGAGCGGAGCCTCCCGGGGCCGTGCCGGGCTCCGGGCGCTGCCGCGGCTGCCGCCGTTGGCCGTGCCGGGGCAATTCGGGTCGGGGGCAGCCCGTCACTCACTGCGGGTCAGGCCCCAGCCCGTGATGTAGCAGGGGTAGTTGTTGGGCAGGATGGTGCCCTCCTGGGGCAGCACGGCCAGCTGCACGGCGCTGTTCAGGGTGGCCGAGCTGCTCAGGCGGAACAGGGCGATGTCGTAGCTGCCGGCGGGAGGGAGAGGATGTTACAAGGAGCCCCCCAAACTCCGGCCGGGCACCCCCAAGCCCCCGTCCCGCGGGCATTACCCTGCGGCCACGTTGTTGGTGTTGTAGTAGGGGTGGACGATGATCCTGCTGACGCTGAAGACCTGCTCGGTGCCGTCGTTGCTGTAGAGGTTGTGCTCGCCGGCCACCACGCGGTACTGCATGTTACTGGCGGCAAGGCGCACAAACGCTCCGTCAGCGCCGAGCTGCGGGCAGCCCGAGCGGGAGCGGCTCCGGGAGGCTCCGAGCGGGACCAGGACGCTCCCGGAGCAGCCCCGCGGGGGCCCGGCCAAAAAGGAGGAGCCCAAAAGCCCCCCAAGGGCGGCCGCTCTGAGGCTTGGGGCAGCCGCAATTTCTGCTGGGAAGGGTTTTTGGGGGAAAGGAGGTTTGGCGAGGGGAAGGAGGGGTCCCCGGGGCGCTCACTTGCTGACGCAGTGGGCAGCGGTCATCACCCAGTTCCTGTGGATGAGGGAGCCCCCGCAGGTGTGGTGCCAGCCGCCCCCGGAGTAATACTGCAGGGAGATCTGGGGAGGGGGCGAGACACGGCGCGGGGCTGAGCGCGGGGTCCCGGCGCGGGCAGAGCCCCGGGCCCGGCCGTGGCGCGCCGGCACGACCCACCTGGGAGGGCCAGGAGTGCGAGCGCGCCTCGGTGCCGCCGACCACCCGCTGCATGCCATCGAGATCCAGCTCGGAGCAGCGCCCTGCGGACAGAGGGACGGCGTCAGTCCCGGCGGGCCTGGCTCAAGGCGGCTTTCGGGGGTGCCGAGGCCGAAGGCTCCGGGCGGGACTCACCGCACAGGGCGAGCGCGGCGAGGAGCACGAGCTGCAGCATCATGGTGGAGCGCTGTCCGCGGTGGGACCGAGCGCCGGGCCCCGGGCGCTTTAACGGGGCGGCGGGAGGCGGCGCGGGAAGGGCAGCAGGTGCCGCGGCCCCGCCGAGCGGCCTTGGCCCCTGTGCCAAAGCACACTCGGTCCCCGGGCAGCCCAGGGGCACCCCGAGCCCCCCTGGCCGCTGCAGCCCAGGGAGACGCTGCCCTGCGCTGGCACCTGCTGTCCCCGTGTCCCCGAGCTGTGTCACCACTGGGTCCCGCTCTCAGCCCCAGCAGGCTTTGGCTGCAGCTCTGCGGGGCCTTGGGTTCGTGGGATGGTTCCCGGGGCTTGATCCAACACCTGGATGGAGCCACTTTGGCACCGGGATGGGGAAATCGAGGCACAAACAGGGCACGACCTTCAGCCCCTCCCCAAGCCCCCGGCACAGCCAGCGCTGGAGCAGGGCTGGGGCTCCCTGGGGCATGATGTTGGGGCAGAATGAAGCAGAGATAGGGTTTGAATTAAACCCTAGAATTTTTACCCAAACTCTGTCATTTTTTATCCCTTGAACTCCAAATGGAGATTGTTTTGGTGAGGAACATTGGCCCTCAAGGCACAGGCCCTGTGATTTGGGATCACAGCGGTCATGGGGTCAACCAGGTCAAAAAAAGTGATGGAAATCAAAAGCACCTGCTGCAGTTCTGCACTTATTTCCAAGGAAAACACGAAACTTCCCAGGAACACAATTTCCAAGTAATCCCATGTTTGTTCTATCAGCACCAAGGGCACACAGCGAGGGACTGTGGCAACAGCTCCACCCCACACAGGGACACCCCAGGGCAAAGCTGAGCCCCCAGCTGTGGCACAAAGGGCTGTACACTCATTTTGGGCTAAAAAAGTGGGATTTGTGTATTACTGACATTTTGGGGATTGTCCTGTGTTAGACACAAAACTTGTGTCCTATCCAACTCCAGATGTTCCACAGTTCTTTGTTCCCAGTGGGTCTTTTCCACCTGAGGATATCCATTATTCCACCAGTCTGGACATCTTGGAGCTCTTGGACAACACTCCTGGATTTTGGGGATCTTTGGAGTTGTCCTTTGCAGAACCAACAGGTTTCCTTTATCATCCTTGTGTGTCCCTTCCACCTCTCCATGACTTGAGAGGTCACGGATCTTTTGACAGCCTTGAACTTTGGGGTTTTGTCGTCAGTGACCTTTTGTCCTGCACAGGGCCAGGAGCTGCCCTGATGCTCCTTGTGTTTCCCTCCCAGCCGGATCCCCCTTGGCCCCCCAGCCCTGTGGCCTGGCCGGGTTCCAGAAGAGCCTTTTGGGGATTTGGGGGTTCCGGGGCGCGCAGCGGATGCTGCCTGGCCTCGCCTCCAACTTCCTCCCTCGAAGCCTCCAACGGCAGCTGCGGGGCCACTCTGGGGCCGCGCCGGGGCCATGGCCGAGGGCAGGGGCGGCAGCGCCGGGCTCTTCGCCAGGCAGGTCCAGAAACGCTTCAGCCGCGCCCAGGAGAAGGTACGGAGGTGCCACCCACCCCCACACCCCACCTGTGGCTGGGTTTGTCCTTCTGTCCCCCCTCAGTGCTCCTGGGGTGGCCCAAAGGGCGCAGCTCAGCACCTTTGGGTGCTCACAGGGTGGGAGTTTGGGGGTTTCTGGGTCAGTGTCATCGTTACTCCAAGGGTTTGGGGGATGGCATCTCCCAAAGCTCCCCGAGACACTTTGGCTTCTCTAATGGTGGGGGGTTCTCCACCCAAAACGCCTTGCAGGGGTTATGGGGGGGGCTGTAGGGTGGTGGCACAGGGTCCCTGGGCTGGCTGGCACTGGGGGTCCCCGGCAGGACCCAGCGTGGCCGGGGGTCCCAGGAAAGTTGGAGAGATCAGCACAGGAAGCGAGGGGGAAGGGCTGCGGAAATGGCTCGAGCGGGACAATTCTCAGCTGCTTTTGGGGGGGCCTCCTTCCTTTCCTCTCCCCTAAAAGTAGCTGTGACTCCCCTTTTGGGGGTGACACAAAGACCCCTTTCAAACCCTCACCCTCCCGGGTTTCCTGGCCGGGGTTCGGCGCTAAATTTGGCTTTCCCACGGCTCAATCATCCCGGGCCAGGCTCTGGCTGCTTCCTGCACGCTGCAAATCTCCCTCCCAGCCGGTCCTGGCCTGTTCCCAGGGGACCCAGCCTCTTCCTGGACATCCCAAATCTCCCTCTGACCCAGCCCCAGCCTCTTCCTGAACACCCCAAAGCTCCTCACTCCCAGCCCTGGCCCCTTCCTGTGGGGTTCAAGCTGTTTGTGGGCACCCAAAAAGTCTCTCCTGCCTGGCCCAGGCTGTTCTGGGGGGTTCAGGCTCTTTTTGGACACCTTAAATTTCCCCCCATCTGGCTTCAGTCATTTTCCAGAGGGTCACCTTCTTCCTGGGCACCCCAAAACTCCTTCATGCCTGGCCCCAGCCTCTTCCCAGGGGAGCTCAATCTCTTCCTGGACACCCCAAAGCTGCCCCAGTCCAGACTCAGCCTCTTCCCAGGAGGTTCAGCCTGGACACCCTGAATCTCTCCCACTCAGAGCAGCCTCTCAGCTCTCCTTCAGCCTCCTCATCCTCCTCATGGTGTCCCCTGTGCCCCACAGTCGGGGCTTGGGGTGTTTTGGGGTGCACAGGACTGTACCCGAGGGGTTTAGGGTGGGAGAATGGACTGCACCCACAGGGTTTAGGGTGGGAGGCAGATTGGCACCCAAAAATTCACCATTTTCCTGAAAGAAATAAAAGCACTGAGGAACACAGTGAGATTTTTTATTTCCACATCAATCCTGCCCCGTTGGCTCCTCGGCCCCCCCTCAGGAGGGTTTTAGGGGGCACAGCCCGGGGCCCTCGGGGTCTGGCAGGGGCCTCTTCCCCTCTCTCCCCATCACAGGTTTTGCAAAAATTGGGCAAAACGGTGGAAACCAAAGATGAGCAGTTCGAGCAGAGCGCCTACAACTTCCAGCTGCAGCAGGTGACAGGGGGACACCGGGGACACTGGGGACACTGGGGACATTGGGGACATGTCCTGATCCCCCTGATCCCCCTTCACTGCCCTGTTTTGCAGAACGAGGGTCACAAACTCTACAAGGAGCTCAAGGGGTTCGTGGGAGCCGTGAGAGGTGAGGAACAGACGCGGGATGGACCCGGGAGAGCCGGGAACAGGGAGGGACCCGGGGCGGGACCGGGATAATAAATCAGGAATAGCAGAGGAAATAAAGCATGCTACAATAAATGGATTGTTCATTAAAAATCGGTATTAAATCAAAAGAAAGAATAAATAAAAATAAATATTGAGAATAAATAGATTGTAAGGTATGAATGGATAATAAAGAGAAAATAGTTAATAAAAATACTATACATGAGATAATAGATAATCTAGATGAGATATATATTATATATCTTACATATATGACATATGCAATATAAATTTTTACATCTCATTATGTATTAAATACATATGGGATAATAAAGAGATAAACATGATAGAGAGAAAAATAATAGAGAGATAATGAAGAGATAAAAATAATAGATATTAAAACTATATTAAATATTAAATAATAATATTAATAATAAACAATAATATGTTAATAAATAAATAATATTTAATAATACATACTATTAATATACTAGTACTTGTAATAAATAAATAGTATTAATATTCATAATTTTGAATAATAATATAACGATGTTATATTAATTATTATTAATAATGTTAATAAAATAATAATAGTAAATACTGTATGTGGGATAATAGATAATAAATATATATGGGATATATATTCTATATAAGACATTAAATAGAATAACAGATAATACATATGTTATACATAGTGTATATGTGGGATAATAGAGACAATAAATAATTTATAATAACACACCCGGGCTAATAAACAACAACGGACAGCAGTGAATAAATTATTAAAGATCAGGACTAAATGACAATGACAAATAGTGATAATGATCGTGATCGTGATAATGATAATGACAATGATAATGATAATGATAATGACAATGATCATATCATGATAGTGATAGTGATAGTGTTAATATTAATATAGTAATGATAATGATAATGACAATGATAACGATAATGATAACTATAATGATAGTGATAATCATAATTATAATAATGATAATGACAATTATAATGATAATGATGATTATCGTGATAGTGATAGTGATAATGACAATGACAATGATCGTGATAATGATAACGATAATGATAACGATAATGACGGTGATAATATAATTATAATAATGACAATGGTAAGGGTCATGCCGGGTGTCTGTGCCCGCAGTGATGCACGAGAGCTCCCGCAGAGTGGCCGAGACGCTGCAGGACATTTACAGCCCTGAGTGGGACGGGCACGAGGAGCTCCGGGCCATCGCCGACGTGAGCCTCGGGTGTCCCCAGGGTCCCCTTGAAGCCCGGGGGGGCTCGAGGGTCCCGGCTGTCACTGCTGTCCCTGTCCCTGTCCCCCCAGAGCAATGACCTCCTGTGGGAGGACTACGAGGCCAAGTTGGTGGACCAAGCCCTGCGGCTCATGGAGAATTACCTGGCTCAGTTCGGCGACTTCAAGGTGCCCCCTTGTGCTGTCGGGCGGGGTTGGGGACAGGGGGGGCACGGGGGGGTCCTGGCTCACCTGCCCCTCCCCCCCCCAGGAGCGCATCGCCAAGCGGGGCCGAAAGCTCGTGGACTACGACAGCGCCCGGCACCACCTGGAGGCTCTGCAGAGCGCCAAGAAAAAGGACGAGGCCAAAATCGCCAAGGTTGGCACTCCCCGGGACAGCTCCCGCTTGGGGACAGTCCCCCGGCCCTGGGGACAACGCCACGACCCCCCCGTCCCTCCCCCAGGCCGAGGAGGAGTTCAATAGAGCCCAGGCGGTGTTCGAGGAGCTGAACAGGGACCTGCTGGAGGAGCTGCCCGTCCTGTACGGCAGGTACGGGCTGTCACAGGCCTGGGGACACCGCGGGGGCTCGGGGACCTGCAGGGGGCTGGGGGACACTGCGGGGATTTGGGGACATCACGGGGATGGAGGTCACTATGGAGGGTGTCAGGGTGGGGATGTCATGGGGCTGGGGGACACCGCAAGGGCTTGGGGACATCATGGACCAGAGGGTGGAGGACATCGTGGGGCTGGGGGGACATCATGGGGCTGGAGGTCACCTTGGGGGGAGTCAGGCTGGGGATATCATCAGGCTGGGGGACACCGTGATGTCCCCAAATACTGGCTGGGGATGTCATGGGGCTGGGAGGACATGGCAGGGGCTGGGGGACACAATAGGGATGGGGGGACATCACAGGAATAGAGGTCACCGTGGAGGGTGTCAGGCTGGGGATATCATGGGGCTGGGGGACACCACAAGGGCTTGGGGACATCACGGACCAGAGAGGTGGGGGACATCGTGGGGCTGGGGGAAATTGTGGAGCTGAGAGACACGGCAGGGGCAGGGGGACATCGTGGGGCTAGGAGACACAGCAGGGACGGGGCACATTGTGGGATCGGAGGACATCGTGGGGCTGGGGGACACAGAGAGGATGGGGGACATCGTGGGACCGGGGGATACGGGCTGGGCGTGGGTGCCATCGGTTGGGTGAGATCCTCCCATGCAGGAAAGAACTTGCAGGGGTCTCTCCTCAAAGTCCGCCCTGGGGACACATCGGGGGTCCTGGGGGACATCGCCCACGGGGCCCTGTGACAGTGGGACTTGGCAGCTCTGTGACATCCATGGGATGGCCCTGAGGGGACATTCCCGTTCCGTGTGGGGCCCACGGAGTTGGGGACTCAGGGGGAGGGACGGGTGGGAGGTGGCTGAGCACCCCAGACCCCTCCGATGTCCCCTCCCATGTCCCCTCCAGTGTCCCCTCCGTGGGACACCGTGGGGCACCCCCAGACCCCTCCCTGTCCCCCGCAGCCGCCTCGCCTGTTACGTCACCGTTTTCCAGAACATCTCCAACCTCCGTGACGTCTTCTACAAAGAGATGAGCAAGGTGGGGAAGGCACCCCAAAACACGTCCCCCACCACCTGGCATCCCCAGGCATCCCCAAGTGTCCCCAGGTGTCCCCAAGGTGTCCCCGGGTGTCCCCAGGTGTCCATGCCTGTGCTGTTCCCCGCGCCTCTGGAGTCCTTGCTCCTCATTTCCTTCATTCATTCAGAGCAGCCCGAGGGCGTTCGGGGTGTCCCCAGGTGTTGGGGGCCCTGCTGAGCCCCCGGGTGATGGGGGGCACCTGGGGGCACCCCCTGAAATGTTTCTGTGTCCCCACCTCCCCTCCAGCTCAACCGGGACCTGTACGAGGTGATGAGCAAACTGGAGAAACAGCACTCGAGCAAGGTGTTCATCATCAAAGGTGTCCCCAGGTAACCCCCGGGGAGATGAGGGGACAGGGGGGGTCAAGGGGACATTTCGCCCCCCAGCCCCCACATATGTGATGGAGGTTCCGGTCCCACAGTCTTGGGGTGGGCGGGCGCCTGCCAAAGATGGGCTGGAGTTGCTTCTTGGTGGGCCTGGGGCATTATCGGGGTCCTGCTGGGTGGGGAAGCGCCCCCTGCAAGCTGGGACGGTGACACCCCAAGGATGAACCCCAAGCTGAACCCCTCTGTCCCCCTCGCCCCCAGCAATCGCCGCTCTCTGGTCATCTCCGCCCCCGTGAGCCCCCCGGCCATGTTCCCCTGCCCGGACAAGGCGCCCGTGCTGGACGCGGAGGTGACACCGGCGTCCCCCGGCGGGGACAGCGCCGCCACCGACACCGACACCGACAGCGCCGGCCCCGCGGAGCCGGGGGCTGTGTCCCCCGGACCCCCCCCGGCTTCCCCCGCCAGCGGCGGCTCCCTGGACACGGCCTCGGTGTCCAGCGAGGAGAGCGCGGAGCAGGGGACAGCGGTGACAGGGTCGGTGTCCAGCGAGGGGACGACGGAGCCCGGTCCCGTCCGCGACAAGGAGCCCTCGGAGCAGGCGACATCGGTGACAGGGTCGGTGTCCACCGAGGAGCCCCCAGAGGAGGTGACAGCGGTGACAGGGTCGGTGTCCACCGAGGAGTCCCCTGAGCCCATCTCCGACCCCGACTCTCTGTCCCCCGGTCCGGAGCCACCGGCGACAGCCGCGGAGCCGGGGGGTGACAGCGGGGCGCGGGGAGGGGTCGAGGGCATCGCCACCTCGCTGGCGTCACTGATTTTATCCGAGGCCATCGCCCAGGCCGCTGGCACGCTGTCAGCAGCGCCGGGGACAGCGGCGGGCACGGCAGGGGACAGCGCGGCCACCAGCGCCGAGGGTCGGGCGCGGCCCGCGGTGTCCCCCGCCTCAGCTGTCCCCTGCCGTGTCCCCGGCCCCGCGGCGTGTCCCCGGGAGCCGTGCCAGCTCGGCGGAGAGCGGGGACAGCGCGGGGACAGCGGGGGCAGCGCGGAGGCGGCGGATGCCGAGCCAGAGGTGAGCAGAGCTCAGGGGGGAAAGTTCTGGGGGACGCCGGGGTGGGAGCGAGGAACGCACCCAGGGCTGGGGACACCCGGGAGGGATGTGGGGACCCGGGGACAAAGCCAGCCCGTGGGACACCCTGTGCCGCAGGTGGGGCCGGACCTGCCCCTCCCGCGTCGCCGGAGCCCCCCCGGACCCCCAACCCAGGCGGGTGCCACAGGCGGGGGGCTCGGTCCCTTTTGGGTGGGATTCAACAGAACCACGAGGTGCCAGTGCCACCGCCACCGTGTCTCTCCCAGGGCTGTTCCGGGACACCGGAGCAGGACAAGAGCCAGGACACGAGCCGGGACCCCTCAGGTGCTGCAGACCCCCCCCAGGATCCCCCCGAGTTCCTCAGCGCCCTCTGATCCCAGGGAAATGCGGCTTCTTCCCCAGATTCGTTCCCCAGAAAGTATTTCCCAGCCCCCATTCCGTCCGAAATAAAGATGGAAAAGGTGGAAAAATCCCAAATCTCCATCTGGGATTGCGGAGGGGTCCGGGGGGACCCCACGGGTGGATTTGGGGTGGCTGAGGGGTGTAGGGGGGGGGAGGTTGGGGGTTGTCAAGCTCTGCCCCGCTCCAGCGCCCGTGATTCAGGGAAAAGGCGTCGAACCTGTTCCACCAGCTCCCGGAAAATTCGCTGTCATGCCAAAAAACCCCAAAACACTCCCAATTTTCCCCTCCCGTGATCCAAAAATTCCCCAAATCTCCGCGATGATGGATTTGCCTCGCAGCCAGCGAGGGGTTAAACGGGGGAGGGATCCTGGGGAGGTTCATCCTCATTCCAGCCGAACTGGAAAGGTGAGGTAGGAACAGGGCAACGCCTTCACCTGGAGCCGCACATGGTGCCGGCAGGTAAGAGCTGCAGGAGTGGGAATTGGATCCCGGGATGTCCCTTCCCCCGAAATTCCCGATCCTGGGGGGCTTCAGGAGGCAAATCCCAGTCGCAGGGATTCGGACACGGTGGCACCTACAGTGAGGGACGGGCTGTGCGGCCGGTCCGGGGTGAAGCCGGAATGTCGGGGCTCGGCCGGGCGTTTTCCAGCTGGATTTGGGGTGGGAGGGGAGGAAAAGGCCGGATCCTGCCACAGGGAGAGGCTGAAAGCAGGAAATCCGGCAGGAAAGCTGAGGGGGAAACAGCGGGAGCAAAGTGCTGCTCTCAGGGGATCATCCCGAGGTGAGGGACAAGAAACGAGGGCAAGCAGCAAATCCCGCAATCCACCCGCTGGGGAGGGGAAGGGGCGGCTGTAAAGGGGCTGCGGAGCACCCCGAAAGAAGCCTGGGGGGATGGTTTGGTGATCCCATCCTCCATCCGCCGGGAATGGGAATGGAGGGGCTGGAAAGGCGCTGCCGAGCACACCTCAAAATCTGTAGGGACAGTTTGTTCCTCTCATGTCATCCAGGCTCTGGGAACGGGGATGGGAATGGTGATAGGGGGCCTGTAAAGGCGCTGCCGAGCACCCCTAAAAATCTGTAGGGACAGTTTGTTCCTCTCCCGTCATCCAGGTTCTGGGAATTGGGATGGGAATGGGAATAGGGGGGCTGTAAAGGTGCTCCCAAGCACCCCTAAAAATCTGTAGGGGCGGTTTGTTCCTCTCCGGTCATCCAGGCACTGGGAATGGGGATAGGGATGGGAATTGAGGGGCCGTAAAGGCGCTGCCAAGAACCCCTAACAAATCTGGGAAAGAGAATGGAGGTGCTGCCGAGCACCCCTAAAAAGTCTAAAAAATCTCTAGGGACGGTTTGTTCCTCTCCCGTCATCCAGGCACCGGGAACGGGAATGGGGATAGGGATGGGAATGGAGGGGTTGTAAAGGTGCTCCCCAAGCACCCCTAACAAATCTCTAGGGACGGTTTGTTCCTCTCTCGTCATCCAGGCTCTGGGAACGGGGATGGGGATAAGGGGGCTGTAAAGGCCCTGCCAAGCACCCCTAAAAATCTGTAGGGATGATTTGCTCCTCTCCCGTCATCCAGGCTCTGGGAACGGGCACGGAAAGGGAATGGAGGGGCTGGAAAGGCGCTGCCAAGCACACCTAAAAATCTCTAGGGACGGTTTGCTCCTCTCCCGTCCTCCAGGCATCGGGAATGGGGATAGGGGGGCTGTAAAGGCGCTCCCAAGCACCCCTAAAAAATCTACAGGGACGGTTTGCTCCTCCCGTCCTCCAGGCACCAGGAACGGGGATGGGGATGGGAATGGGGAGGCTATAAAGGCGCTGCCGAGCACCCCTAACAAATCTATAGGGACGGTTTGTTCCTCCCGTCGTCCAGGCACCGGGAATGGGGATGGGGATAGGGATGGAGGAGCTGCATCCCCGGCGCTCCTGGAAGGAGTTTTTAGGATCAGAGCAGCCGCGCGGGGCAGGGTTTCCCTTGGGAACGGCTCTGGAGCCGCTCGGCCGGAGCGCAGGAATGAGGAAGATGAGGAGTTTTTCACAAGCCTGCTGTAAAAACACATTTGAATGCATTCGGATGGGAATGATTCACTGCGGCTGCCAGCCCCCTCCTTCCGGGCTGGATCCCGGCCTGGCACTGCCAGAAATTCCGGGGTTTTGGGAAGCACCGGGGCCTTCCCGCAGGGAGCGATCCGTGGGGAGCATCCCTGTCCTGGAGAGAGCAGGAGGAGCTCCCCTTCCACCACCACGCGTGGTTGGATGGAAATCAAACCCTTCCCTCAGATAAATTCGGGTTAAACCTTTGCTGAGTCCCAGCACTCCAATCCTCGGGCTCTGTGGGTCCCAGGGTTGCGTTTTGTGGGTACCAGGGTTGCGTTTTTGGGGTGCTGGGGCCCAGAACTGGTTTGCATTCCTCACTGGCAATGCCAAACTCTTCCCAATAAACCTTTCCCAAAGCTCAGCCCAGCCCCTGTTCCACCCAGCAGCGCCTTTTCCTATTCTTCTCTTAAACCCCGGTTTATTTTGGGGAATTTAATCCCAGTTTTGGCTCCGAAGCCGCCCGGGAGCAGCAGCTGCTCCGTGGGAAGGGCGAGGTTGGCTTTGGGAAAGGCCCGGAGAGCTCTGCTGGGTAAGCTCGACAGCAAAGCTGGGCTTAATGAGGGGCTGGGTTAAAGCAAAACCGGGTTTAAGGCAAAACCGAAATGAAAATGAAATTGTTTAAAGCAAAACTTGGTGTAATTCAAAGTTGGGTTTAAAGTAAAACTGAATTGAAAACGAAACTGTTTAAAGCACAACTTGGTGTCATTCAAAGTTGGGTTTAAAGCAAAACCGAGTTTAAAACAAAGCTGGGATTAAAGCAGCTGTGGATGTAATGCAAATGTGTGTTTAAAGTAAAATCGTGTCTAAAGCAAACTCGGTTTAAAGGAAAGCTGGTTTTAAGGCAAAATCAGGTTTAATTCAAAGCTGGGTTTAATGAAAAGCTGGACTTAGAGTGAAATTGAGTTTAAAGCAAAATGAGTTTAAAGCAAAACTAAGTTTAAAGAAAAGCTGGGTTTAACATAGGACTGGACTGAAGTAAAATCAGGTTTAAAGAAAAATTGTGCTGGAAATAAAATCGGGTCTAATGCAAAGCTGGGTTTAAAGCAAAGCTGGGTTTAAGAAAAAATCGGGTTTAACACGAAATTTGGATTAAAGGCGAGTCTGGTTTCAAGCAAAGCTGGGTTTAAAACAAAACAAGGTTTAATGCAAAACAAAGTTTAAAGTGAAACAAGCTTAAAGTAAAGCAAGGTTTTAAAGCAGAACTGTTCTTACAGCAAAACCGGGTTTAAAGCAAAAACGGGTTTAAAGTACAGCTGGGTTTAAAGCGGAGCTGATTTTCAGTAAAACTGAGTTTAAGGAGCGGCTGCTGCCAGCCCGAGCCGGGCTTTGCCTGCTCGGGTCCCGCCCTCCCTGAGCCCTGCGGGAGGGGAACGGGCACGGCCCGAGCTCCCGGGGACCCCAGACTCAATTCCCGGCACCCCCAGACCCAACTCCCGGGGCTTCCCAAACCAAATTCCTGGGGGACTCCTCCAGCCCCAATTCCCAGCTCCCCTAAACCAAATTCCCGTCTCCTCCAGCCCCAAATCCCGGGGTTCCCCCAAACTAAATTCCCGGCACCCCCAGACCCAATTCCCGCCTCCCCCAGACCCAGTTCCCAGCTCCTCTAAACCAATTTCCCGGCTCCCCAGCCTCAGTTCCCGGCGCCCTAGACCCAATTCCCAGAGCTCCCCCAGCCTCAATTCCCGGCTGGTCCCTAGACCCAGTTCCCGGGGCTCCCCCAGACCCAATTCCCAACTTCCCTAAACCAAATTCCCGCGGCTCCCCAAAACCAAATTCCTGCCTCCCTCCAACCTTAACTCCCAGCGCCCCCAGCCCCAATTCCAGCCTCCCCCTAGATCCAATTCCTGGGGCTCCCCCAAACCAAATTCCCGGGGTGCCCCAGCCCCAATTCCCGGCTCTCCCTCAGACCCAGTTCTTGGCGCCCCCAGACCCAATTCCCGGCGCCCCCAGACTCAATTCCTGCCTCTTCCCAGTCCCAATTCCCGGCTCCCCCAGCCCCAACTCCCAGGGCTCCCCTAATCCAAATTCGGGATGCCCCAGTTCCCGGTGCGCCCCCAGCCCTAACTCCAGGGGCTCCCCCAGACCCAATTCCCACCTCCCCCCAACCTTAACTCCCGGTGCTCCCCCAGCCCCAATTCGCGATTCCCCCCCAACCCCAATTCCCGGCCCGGCCGTGGCCCCGCCCCGCTCCTGCCCCGCTCCCGCCGCTCGATTTCCTCTTTTTTTAAAAAAAAAGCCCCAAACAAACGGGATCGGATTCGCTCCGACCGCGCTGAGTCACGGAACCCCCGCGCCCGGAGCCGCCCGGCCCCGGAGCCACGGCCGGGACATTCGGGGGGCCCGGGGGTCCCCATCGGACACGGCCAAGGTGGGGCGGGCAATTCCCGAGCTCCGGCCCCGCATTTTGGGCATTTTCAAGGACTTTCAGGCGCTTTGAAGCTCTCAAAATCTGGGAGTGAATCCAGCCAGGGGCTGGCTCTTCCCTGTCCCGGCTGCGACCCCAGCCCCAGTAATTCCAGTGCGTTACTGGTGCTGCGCCACCCCCCTCGTGCTGCAAGTTTTGGGGTGGTTTGGGAGGAAATCGCGACTTTTATCGCTATTTTTGGTAATTCCGAAGGAACCCGGAGCCTCACCTGGAAGGAGGGATCTCAGCCCCACCTGAGCACAGGTGATGGGGCACTGAGTGGGAATTCACCCAAAAATAGCTTTTATCGCTATTTTTGGCACCTCCGAAGGAACCCGGAGCCTCACTCACTGGAAGGAGGGATCTTATCCCCACCTGAGCACAGCTGATGAGGCACTGAGCGGGAATTCACCGCTTTTGTCGCTGTTTTTGGCAGCTCCGAAGGACCCCAACCCTTCCCCTGGAAGGCGCCG